CTCCCTCCCTTCCTTCCTCCCTCCCTCCCTCCCTCCCTCCCTTCCTTCCTTCCTTCCTTCCTTCCTTTCTTGTTTTCTTTTCCCTTTCTAGCTTTCTTTCTTTCGTCTCTGATTTTCTTTCTCTTTTCTGTGGTTCACTGCAACTTCCAGGCAGAGAGCGAGAGTGGCGCGGGTATTACATTATTTACTCTTTATCAGAATGGTCATTCTGCATCACCTGTTACTCACCTCTCAAAAGCAATAACTTCATTACATCAGCCTTGACCATTGGTTCTTCAAAGACAAGGTAAGTCCAGCCATGGCCAGCAACATTAATGTCAGGTCACAAATGGAGGAAGCTAGAAACCAGAGGTTTCATTTTTCTAGGGAGCACAACTACTCAGCAGGGAGATTCTTCTTTGTGGTGCTGACTCTGCATCCATTGGTAAAAGAATGTTGGTACCTTTTAGAGCATGTGTATGCTTTAAGGGAGCATCATTCATAATCCATTCCCTCATGTTGGCTATTTATAGTGAAAGGGTAGTTGCCAGGAAAGATTATAAATCAGTGAATGGTACAATCTATGCTTGCAAGGCCTAAGGAAGGTGAAGGACAAAGTGTTACAAAGCAGATACTTGCAAATACCAAACAAATGAATAACACAGAAAAGGTAAGAACACCTACATAACACAACCAGGGTGGTTGACACTGGTGAGGCTTTTCTGGGTGCACGTATTTAGCATTTTATTGTGTTGTTTTGAGATAAGGTGTGAGAATGCAGCCTAGTCTGACCTGGAACTCATGCTTCTTCTGTTTCAGCATTTCAAGTGCCAACAGTGGAAACACACCACCACTCATGGCTTGAATTTCATGATTTTAATGTATCTTGGTGGCAAGATTAGAAGTCTCCTTGGGGCCATATCACCCATTTTTGATTTTTTGTTTTCTCTGTGAAGATAACATCATCTTCCCTGGAAGAAATCTGAGAATTATTTAAAATACTCACTAGATGGCAGAGATCATAAAGGCCCATTTGTTTCAAGCAGATGAAAGGCTTTAATAACAAAAACACTAAATGTATTTTTCCTCCAATGGAGATCTTCAATGTTTTAAAGCAACAGAAATCACAGAAAAGAAAAAACATCTCAAAATTTCAGCATAATCTTACCAGGTGTTTACAATTTGGTCTGTTTAACAATATATTTTGTAAGTTATTGATATATGAAGGAACCAGGCCCATATAGTCTCCATATGGAAAGAGTAGGGCCCCTCTGTGGTTTATTATACCAGTGTGCTCATTGCCACGTTAAGTGACATGTCTAACAGTTAATAGAGTGCCTCGAGTATGAGTTTCAGAAATAAATATTAGCATCCCATCTATTGGTGGTCACTGGGAGATTCAGAGAGCAGGACTGGGCCTGGCTTTCAGGTGTGTTCTGTGTTTCCAGAGTTTGCGGGTCTACTGGGTACATGAGGACTTTTTATTCATTTACTTATTCTCTTAATTTATTTTCCATTCCTTTAGTTGTTTTTAGGTGTTGGTACCCATTTAATTGTAACTAAAGCCAGAAAAGAGTTCAGTGCCCTTCAGGCACAGACACACAGAATTATCAGTGTGGTCCCAGAGCACACAGGATTAGAATGAGATCCAAAAGGAGGCAGAGAAAGGGAAAGGGAAATATCCATTAAAAATGGTCCCAGATGCAACCCTGATAAACACATTGCTGCTTCTAAGCCCAAATGTATCAGTCACTGAACTAGAATTTCCAAATTAAAGGTAGAGAAACATAGTGTTGATGATCATTTGCTCCCTGACCCCTGTGGTAAGTGTGGTGGTGTATAGCTCACTGCTAACAGTTTTCCCCGCAAAAGTGCTAATTAAGCTTCTTGATATGTATAGAGAAAGAAACTCAGCACATTCCTTCCCGTCTGTGCCGGACCATCACAATGACTGACCGTGTGTATACACTAGCTGGAGTCTCCTACCTGCAACAGCTAGTGCCCCCTCAAGCCACTGTCACTCCACATACCGGGCATCCTTTGGCTTAGATGGTGGCATGGTTTTGAGGCTGATATATGTGTCACCCCTCCTCCACTCCCTAGAGGTGGGGTGTAGACAATTAAGGTACCAAATATCTTTAGGATATGTACTGACTAAAGGTAGAATGTTGATTTTGTTTCTTTGGGCTGGCTAGCAAGCAGTGCAGTATAAATGGCTCATAGTTCATGCATTAGGGAGTGGAGATCAAGACAGAGATGAATCCTCTCTACCAGAATTCTGCTTCCATGACTAGCAGCTGTCTTGATGATTTTCACTTCCCAAAGGTTCCTTTATTTAACAACAAGGTTGAATGATGCCTGAGATCAGGGCTGGCCTGAGATAGCTGTACATCATGGCCAACTAATTATTTAATGTTTTTTCAAAATCCAAATTTCAGATAAAATCTGTGTATCTTTTTCTGCAAATTCATGAGATGAACTTGAGGGTAGTTTAATATTTCTACTGTGATGGGAGATTTTCCCTCTGACAGTCCTCCCTCCCCGACTTGGTTGTGATGGGATGGGGCCTGTTATGAACGCTTGGAAAAATCTTGACCCAGAGAACTTGAACTGAGACACACATAGTTCTATTTTACCAGTTCAGCTTCGAAGAAGGATGTCATCAGGAAGCTGCCCTTCAGAAGACTGGCACGTCTCACCCACGGCCCTCAGTTGGTAAAAATCTTCCCAGGTACAACACCAATGTCACAGACCTTCTTTTTCCATGTAACCAGTGACTACTTTGGAGCAGCTGGGATAGATTTGGGTGTGAAAATTACTCAGGCAGCTTTATGCAGTACTCGACTTATCACACTTCTGATTTACAGTGTCATTTGCAGAGGGCCCTTCGACTAAGGGCCTGGTCCCGCCCTTTGGTGGTTCTGCTTCTGAAGTAAACCCCAACAGACATCAAATGCTTTGGAATCTCCTTTGTGTTTTCATCTTCCATTGTTAGCTATCTAAGTGTACTTCTGGTCATAGGTACACAGCACATTCTCATACCACAGTGTCTGCCACTGGTCATTATTCTCTTCTATTTCTTAGAATATATAACTAACTGTAAATCTTAGAATATATAACTAACTGTAAACATTTCTTAGTTTCATTTTTGGCATAATTAATTCTGGATATGTTTAGGGACCAGAATTTAAACTTATTGAGTGTTTTGAAATATACAAATATTTTTGTCAATACAACTAAAGAGATCTACAATTAAGTCACACCCACTTGGGCCCCTTTGCCCAGTCCTTTCCACATCATGCAGATGGAAAGCAGCTCAAATCCCAAAGTCTATCCAAAAGCGTGAGGAGCTAGGTCTAGGAAGACACACCCTTGTCTTTAGTTGGGCATATGTGATGCCTGTGTGATACAACTTGATTTCTGTTCTGGCTTTTCCAGGGCCTTCTGCCTTGTTCTAATGGCTGTAGTTTCTAAGTGTGATCACAGTCCCTTTGGAACCCCACCCAGATGCCTTCTAAGTCCTTTGGAGGAAGAGAAGAGAACATCTGGCTGTCTTCTATGCATAGAAGTAGGCTACAAAGGGTAAATGAAAGGACGTTTTCTCCACCTACTCAGTCCAGGCAACCCAGTTTACTTCCAGGTAGGTGCATAAACATGGATGGTTAGGATAGATGGGCTCAAATGAAAGAGAAGAATGACCAAAGGTGGCTTATAATCATTTCAACTCCAATTCCAGGGGATCTTATTCGGTGCCCTCTTTTGGCCTCCATCGACACCAGGTACACACATAGTGCACAGACATACATGCAGGTAAAACATCTATACACATGAAATAATTATAACAATAATGATAAAGAGCATCCAAGGGTAGTTTATTCCAAATCTCAGTTGGAAATCTAGAGCAAGATTCCCTTTTTCTTGTAATAACCATTTACTTTCCTAACATATCAGCAAATTTCACTGAAGAGGGTTCATCATGGCCTAGTCTAACAATACTTCTTCCTCTCAAATCCCAAGCTTCCTCTTTTTATCATTATCCAAAATAGACAGTGTCTGCTACTTAACCTCAGGCCAGCCCTTTCCTTTTTCCTCTGTAGTCTCCTAGTTAAACGACTGTGACTGAATCCTCTAAATGTGTGCTTTCTGTAGTCAGTTTTCTATAGGTGTGAAAAAATACCTAAGCAAAGAACTTAAGGGAGAAAAATATTTCTTTTGGCTTTAAGTTCCAGAGATTTCCACCTGTCACCATGGGAGCGCATTACAGAGCCGGACAGCTCATATCATGGCAGCCAGGAAACAGAGGCAGAATACTTGAGCCATTGATCTTTCCCCTTCCCCCTTCATCCCATCAAAACTGCCAGCAAGGGAGGGAGATGGTGCCAGTACTCAGGGGGTGTCTTGCCTTTGTTAATCCTCTCTGGAAACACCCTCATGGGTACACACAGAGATGTGCTTTCCTCATCTCCCAAGTGGTTCCTAAGTCAGTTAAGTTGATAATCAAGATTAATCATTGCCTGTGGCTTCCAATGTTGCCAAAGAGAAGTCTTTATTTCCTGCCTTGAAGTATTATAGTAGAGGGCACAGTCTGGGATGAAAGAAGAGCGAATAAAAGAAACAGTTTAGGGGTGGAGTTACAATGCATGGGATGTCTCTGGAATTTTTCCTATAATAAATGAATTCCATATCACTTAGCTAGTCTCAGGAAGTAGATAGAGCCCTTTCCATTTTGGTCCAGGTTGGCTCGGGGACTTTTGAAACTGGTGCTTGGCACTAGAACACGTCAGGGCTGTGCTTCCGAAGGGATGAAGAAGGTAAGACATGACAGAAACAGTGTCAGCAAACACAGCACTGTCTGACAGAGACTCGGGGCTAAGCGTTTATATAATCATCTCTTTTCATTCCTAGTATAATCCTGTGAAGTCAGTTCAACTATTAATTCAAATTTTAAAGATAAGGTTAAGTAAGTTACCCAGAGTCCCAGGGCAATAATTTGTGATAGCATAACTCCAATGTCTGTTCACTTAACTATTTGATTACTTTCCATCAGGATGCAGAAAGATTATAAGGTAAGGACTGTGGATGGAGACAAACTCATATATATGAAGGGTCTATATTTCAAGCCCCATCTACACTGTCATTTCATATGACCTTCAAAATGTGTATTTTGTTTAAACTTTTTTATAAACAAGGAAGCTAACAGTACAATTTTAAAAAAATATGGAGGTCACACATGTGAAAATTGTAGAACCAATGTTGGACTTGCACATTGTACAGAAAGTCTACAGTTGCCTTACCATGTCATGCAGCTTAACTACACAATGTTCCATCATTCCTGCTTTGAGACACAATGACTGTGTCACACGATTCAAGTACAGAGTAGAATTTATGACACATTTCTTCATCAAAAAGCATCTTTGATACAGAAATGAAAATAGATCCTCTTAACTTTGCTACCATCTTTGTTTTTCTGAAGTCAAGAAAATATATGCAGTATGTTCAAGTCGCATATGGCCTGTAGCTCATGGCTAGTTTTTTTCTTAAAAGCACTATTTCCAGGGTAAGCAGGGCAAAAAGCAGACTGCACTGACTCAATGTTTTATCTCAAGCAGAGAAAAGAAAAAAAAGGAATGAAGACATCATCACTCTGTTGATTTGCGCACATGTAACCACGATGCCTTGAGTCTGGGTTGCATGGAGAATGTGCTGGGTAAAGGAGCAGAGGATAGAGGGAAACTTCGAGTGCTCTAACATGTCACAGCTGAGTGAAAATTACCCTTATATCTCTGTGTGTTGGCCTGGCTGTGCAGAAGAGAAATGCCCTTCATTTCCCAGTGGAACAAATGTCAACAAGCACCATATGGCATGTGAGGCTGGGACTTGTCCTTTGCCTGTTCTGAGGAAACAGCTCCAACCTATGTTACTTTTGTGTGTGTGACATTGTCACCAAAGGCACAACAGGCATCCTGAGAGCAAAATCTACCCTGCACTTCTTTGGAGAGGCATCCAGAGGGTGGGCAGGTGCTTTTTAGTAAGTGTGGGTGAAGGAGATTGCCTTATGATGCCCATTCACTTCCTTCCTCCTCTAGCAACTGAACAGATGTGCGGTGAGGAGTCTATTTCTTCATTTCAGTGAATCTCACGGAAACTCACCCATGTGTCTGTGGACATTCCTTCCTTCCACAGTTCCTCCAACCTTTCCATTGCCATCATCTCCGTGTGCTTTGGCCATCAGCCACTTCCTTTTCTTCCAAGCTTTTCCGTATAACCTCTGAGTGCAGGGAAGAATGGACACAGGTGCCCTCACCTCATCATGTGGATTTCCTCCTGCTTTCTTGGAAGGATGGAAGTCGGTCTCTGTACTTCACCTTCGGTGTTTTTTAAAATGTAATCCCTATAAAAGATTTATATATTAAAAATGTTTTGTGTGTATGTGTGTACCTCCCCAAGATTATGTGCTGCACACACATGCAGGTGCCAGCGAGAGGCCGAGGAGGGCACTGGGTGCCCTTGAACTGGAGTCACAGGCAGTTGTGAGACATCACGTAGGTGTCAGCAGCCGAACCCTGCTCTTCAGCGTAAATGGTAAGCTTTATTAACCACATAATCTCCCCACCTCCTGTAGGCATTTTTTGCCTAATAAGGTTTGAGGAAATGAAATAGTTCTTATATCCACATGCCACTCTCAGATGTACATGAGTAAGAGGATCCTGAAGAAAAACAGAAGGGAGGTGGAGAGTGGGGGAGGATAGGAGATAGGCAAAACAGCTATCATGGTGTGGGAAATACAAACAATGCTAAACATTCAGGCAACAGAGTATTTTAATTCTCAACATGATGGACAGAATGTGGGGGAGTGTTGTAGCTTATGAAAACACAAAAAAATTTAGTACAACACCCAGGAGGTAGGATGGGAAGACAAACAATATCCGACATTATAATGTGATTCTCTCAAATACTGAGGAGAGAAAATGAACATGGTGTGATCAGAGATGGATTCCACAATAGTAGGTTAGGGCCTGAGTGCCTGAGAGAGCAATACAATTAAGGAAAACAAATCATTTGTCCCTGATACCCAACTTCCATGACAATTTCTTGTGACCCAAATCTGTGGCATTTCTCTTCTGTGTCTCAGAATAACTGAAACACCTCTCGTCACCATGGAGCCCTGTGGTAGGCATTTTCAGCTGTTCATGCCCATGCAGGAAGGAGTGCTCAGGACATCATGAGCCTACAGGGATTCGCAGACTCAAGCAGGTATGTGCCACAGAAAACGCTTACGTTAAAACACTCTTAGAAAATATCAAAAGCAAGTGCATTCTGCTCCCCCCACCTTGCCGAATACCTACTATAATAACTGGAAGACGTGAGCTGAAAATGAAACTTGGAGCTTTTTTTGTAATTCCTCCTTGGAACTCTGAGGTACAGAGAAAGCTGCTCTCAAGTTTCACATTCTGTCTCATGCTGTAACACTTTTAGTACCAGATATGGGAATACTTCTGTTTGAACATCCAAATTTCTTCCTCATCTTCCTTGGGGAAGCAGCCACCTGTTGGCCAACTGGGCCATAGATGTGTGGTTACCAGCAGTACAGTATGGCCAATGGAGTTAGAGGTCAGGGAGGGTATGGAAGGTCTATGTTGGCCTGGGCAGCCAGCTCAGACTGTATGGAACAGAGTGTTGAGTGAGGACACCTATTTGTATCCACAGCTGTGGCTTTACAGTTTCCTCACCTTGTGGGGAAAGTGGGGCCAGGAGAGGACAGAAATCTACCTTCTAGAATAGCAGTTCTCGACCATGAGTCACAACCTCTTTGGGGTCACATAGCAGATATTGACCTTGCAGTTCATAACAGTAGCAAAATTTCACTTACAAAGAAGCAATAAAAACAATTTTGTGGTTGGGGTCACCACATATGAGGAACTGTATAAATGGTCACAGCATTAGGAAGGTTGAGAACCACTGCTCTAGAGTGTATGGTAGGCATCGTTTTAGAAGCACTGATCTATGGAAGCCATCATGCTAGGCTGAAACATGAATACAGATTCAAAGGGGATAAAGGTTTGGTCCATGTGTTTTGCTTTCTTGTTAGGGAGCAGAGTCTCATTTTCCTCAGTCTTCTTGCTGGAGTCTTCCGAGTGTGATGATTACAGATGTGTCCCCATCACAGTCTTTTGGAAATATAATAAATGCTTAAAATAATTGGTGGGTTAAACTATAATGGAATACAGCAATTCTCTGATTTCCTAAACATCTACTGCACCAAAGTTTTGTTTCTAATAAATGGCCAAAATCATACAACCTTTGCTGACCTGGGAAGCCAGCTCAGTTCCTGACCACCAGAGACAGGAGTGTCCTCTATATTCTGCTTCATGATCACCATATTATTCCCAACCCATCCTTCTCCAAATGCTGCTGTATTTGTGTTCAGACAGTCTGTTGGTGAATGGCTCCTCTGTGGAGCACCCAGGAAGCCATGAAAAGAGATCCTGCTAGGCCTTGCCGCTAGATTGTTGTGGCTGGGGAGGAAAGACATGCCTGGCAGGGCACTTGGGAAAATTTAGTCTTAAAAAAAGGGTTACACTTGGGTTAGAGAAGTGGACCTGTGTGATAGTGCACAGGTACTCAGAAAAGGAAGAGAGAAGCGGGGGTCTTTTTTTTATAGCTCCCTCTATTTAGTAGGTCATCTCTCTTTAGCCAATGGCACCTTCTTCCATGCAAACAAAGCAGTATACTTCCCCAGGGCATAAATAAGCTACTTTGCATTTCTGCAAAGACTTTCATTGATTGTCCTATGGAAATATCTCTGAGAATATTTTTACCTTTCTAGGGCTTCAATAATCCCCCAAACAACAGTGTCTGCAGCTCAGGGTTGCACTTGAGCATGGGCCTGGGAAGCAGCCTTCCAGCTTGGCTACTCGGAGGTGTGAGAAGCTGAGTGATGCCAACCCACCATGTGGGCAATTTTAAGTTGGCCCTGGTGTGTACTCAGCTGTCCAGTTCTAAATGGAAGTCTTGTGAGCCACCTGGAACCTGGGCTGCTTTATAACCATCCTCCCAACCTTCAAAATACTTGGCCCAGATGAGCCAGTGGAAACCGAGATATATATATATATATATAATTTTTATTTTATGTTTCTTGTGTCCATGCAATTGGAATAAACTGTAAATTAGGTGTTATAGCACTGTAGTTTGGTTAGATGCAGTGGTTTAGAAATGTAGCTTTAGTTTGTTATGAGATAATAGCTGCTTTGCTTTGTTGTGACAGTAGCAATAAAGTAAAGTTACTACAATGTAAAATGTGGTAACCAACCCAAACTACTGAAACAAAGCCACAAATCAGAGGCAGCCCAACTCTGGGACCTTTATGTACAGAAGCAGTATTTAGTTCCATCTCTGAACATGTAACACAGAGAACCCTATCATGGCCATTAATATGATATGGTTCAGGCACTTGCTATGGGTCAAATCATGTTCCCCAAACCATATGGGGTAAAATGTCATTGAAACATATAAAAAATATCATTCTATTTACATTGTACAAAAGAGAGATTCTGCCCAGACAAGGCTGGTGTGCAGAGGTGCCTGGTTATGAATAAAGAACTAATATGTTGCCCAGAATCTGAAGAAACAAATACTTCTTAGAAAGCTGGCTGGGTGAATGCTTCCTAATACACACACCTGAGAAGTCTATAATGGAGAGGAAAACATGAGGCTTGTCCTGTCCCTGTATGTATCTGCCTACACCTTACAGAGGATATAGGCAAAGGACATAAAAGCGAAGGGAACACCTCAGAGCACTGATAAGGAAATGTGCCATGGAGTGGAATCCTTACAGAGTAGTGTGGGAAGTAGTGGCCATGCATCACTCTGACTTGGACAAGTCACATCTTTGGGAGCATTAGGAAGGACAGAGCCCTGGGCAATGACGATTGCTGTAGATCCTGACAGGAGACACAGCAGAGAAAATTCCGCTATCAATGGCCTGTTGCTGAGTCAACGCCAGATTGCGAAGAGGGGAACATAGGTGTGGCTCTTGTTTAGTTCCCAAAAATTTGACAAGGGCTTGCAAAGATCTATGAAATGTAGACCACCATGGTTAACTTGAATCTATACCCCATGTCTGGCAAAGGTAAGAGACCATGGACTGCAAACAGAAAAAGCTTGGTTTGGTACTAATAGCTAATATTTATCAGTCATTTGTTAGGTTTAGAATGGGCTCCAGAGCTCTTTATACACTGTCCACTGAAATCTTCATAACCTTGTGATGTGAATCCTACTGCATAGCACATCTTGCTCATCACAACTCACAAATAGTGAGTGACTAGAACTGAGAACTCAACTCACAGAATCTGACTCCTGACTACCAGCCTCCTAACTCCTGTTTGGCTTGCAGCAGCCTCGTGTTGTATAGTGTTCTGGAGCCACAGCTCCCTATCAGCTAACGTCCCTGGTCCCTGAGATGCCCACTAACATATTTGTGTCATTGTCTACATAGCTGTATAAAAACCACACAAACTATACGGTAATGCACTTCTTCAAATGTGTAGATGATAAGAAGTTTTCTGGAGCCACCAGTAGTCCAATCCCTGTGAATGAGGTAAAAGGGGCCTCAGAGGATGGCAGGCTCAGAGGGTTGTTGGGTCTTCTTTGGGCCCACTGTGAAGCTAAGTTTTCTCTTAGAATTGTAAGGTGAAG